TTTTTTTTGTCAACCAATTATAAACTATTAAATAAATCATTTAAAAACAAATAAGTGTGAAAAATAGGTTTTAGTTTTTTTTTGTCACAATAGACTCTAACTTTTGCAGAGATACTTATCTTTTAAAAACCTAGTTCTCTTTCAAAGTAAGCCGCCTCTTGAACAGTACCACCGTCGCATTTTCAGCGTTTCGGTCCGTCGACGGGCGGCTTCCACATCGCCGATACCGAATCCGTGTAAATGCTCTTTGTTTCCTTTCAGTTTGCTTGTTTTTCTCGGATCTCTTCTATCGGAAGTTTTCAAGTCTTGGGTTGCTTCGTTGCTTGAGATCTGGTGCGGTGAAGCTCGGTTTTCGTCTTGTCAAGGTCTCGGCTGGTGTGAGAGATCTCTCTGGTTTGGGTCGAAGGTGCGTGTGGTCCGGTGAGTCTTGCTTCCTTGGTCTCGTGCTAGCTATCATTTGCTCTCTCTGGTTTGATTTTCTGATACTTGAGTAAGGAAGCTTCTCTTCGATAGTCATGGTAGTTATAGGTCTTCGTGGTGGGTCTGGATCCGGCTAGCCGTGTTCCCTTTGTTGGATGTGGCTCGCTTTTGGTCTCAGCTTGCTCGGAGATATCCGATTCATGCTAATGTCCCTGATTTTGGTCTAAACTTTATCTCATATCCGGTTAGTTGATGAGTCTAGGCCTTCGTTGTGGATCCTGATCCTGCTTGAGGTGATCTTTTGGTGCTGTTTGATTAAGAGTGACTCTTCCTTAATTCTCGCCTTGCTGCTTAGTCTCCTTTCTATCCGATGTGTATATTTTTTCTATTGGCTTTATGCATTCGTATACTGGGTTGTGTATCAATATGAAGAATCTTGGATGATTGGGGTCTATTCTTGCTCGGGATTGGTCTCTTCTTTCTGGTTATTCTTCGGCTTTTGTTACTCTTAGCTTGGTTCTATCTTTGGATTCGTGATATGATGACTTTGTCTCGAGTGTGCGTGCAGCTCCTTCTCACCTTTCTCGACATTGTGATTCGAAGCAGTGGTTCTATGCTTGAGGGATTCAATAGAGGGAAGACGCTTGGCTTTGTTGGTATTCGAGATGGTTGTTTTAGATTTATAATCTTGGCTTTAGTTTAATGTTTCCGTAACTATGCGTTGGTTTTATGGTTTAGGTTTCGTCTTTTCGTATAAGAATTTCGGTATAAATTCTCTTTACTATTTCATTTTCGTATTTCATCCACGTAATCTAAAAACGTATTCTAACACCGTGAAAATGCTTAATATTATGTTTCATATGAAAAAAAAAAAAAAAAGATTGTGACTTTTGAAATTATTCAGACGATGATTACGATTTTATTTTTATGTTTTACGGGGAAAACAATAAAGAGACACGAATGTGGATATATATAAATAAATACGTAAAATGGAAATAAGTGGTCCTCTTGTTTTGTTGCAGAGTTCCAATAAGGTGTTTTGTACAAAGCAGAAGTCATACACGTGGCTCACGCGCCGCGCCACATAGCACTTGGACCCAAGTGGGACCCACTTCACGCGCGGGCACACGTGGGAATGATATCAGAGTCACTCAGCCGACGCAACCATTTTTCTATAGTGACTGTCAGTCACGTTACGACATTTCACAGCGCCACCTGTCCCCATTTTGGTAACATGTGTCTAGGTGAAGCCAACGTCGTGGCAGTTTCTCATTGGTTTATTTATAAATTTAAATCACCCCGATATTCCCATTCCTTTACATGCGAACCCCTACTTTTTAAGAAATGAAATCTTAGGGGTGCAAAGTTAATGAAGCTCTCAGATGGTTACAGATTTTTTTTTCCTTTATTTACTCACACTTAAACTAATGAAAATAACATCTAGTTTGTATGTTTCGTAGATAGTTATGTAAGGTTCAAATAAAGAAAGCTAATTACAGCGAAATAAGCATCGCCAAAAAAAAAGAGAGTAGATTAAAAGAAAAAGAAAACTAGTTAAGAAAAAAAATATCTTCTTCAATTTAATGAAATGCCAGTGGTTGATGTTACTTTGGAAACTAATTTGGAAACTGTACTTGATGTTCGATATGTAATTAATTTCCTGAACGGTTTTTAATGTAATGTTTCATAAGTGGTTGGGTTCATTTTGGAGCTTTAATAAACAATTGGGCCATAATCGTAAATAATGAAAGAAATGGGATAAAATAAGCAATACGTGGGTGTGTAAATGGCCGACCTCGCATCCGGGTGAAAAGAAAAAGGAGGGAAAAAATCTGGTTGGTTGAGATTCAGATTCTGGATGACCTTAATATGAAATGCGTGGGTCCTACCTTAGGAAAAGCGGCCGCCGCAGCTAATCTTGTTTCACATGTGTCTTTCAGATTTTAAATGAAATTATTCCCCACTCTTGATATTAAAATAAATATACAAC